TTATGAGTTGGATTTCCTTGAAATTTAGTGTTTCTTTACCATTATAGAAGGTGGCAGCACCACTAATTCATTTTCACTTCTATGAAATGGGTGACTACTTTTAATGTTTCATAGAGAGCTGATAATTTGGAAAATTGTGTTTTGATATTTCACTAGGAGATCTTCAGTTTTGATTGCCATGCTTGTGTGCAATTCATAATTCATTTTCCTCTTTTCCACCTCTTAAACTGCTAAATTTGGGACGACGGCAATTATGACATTGATTTGGGCCTGGAATGTGCTAGAATTGCACAGGGGCCGCTTTCTCAACTGTGAGCTTTGAAGTCACCAAACATGGCTCGTTTCTCCTCATGAAGCTCATACTGCCGCTTCATACTTACTCTGCAAGGCAATGATGAGGACAGGAATGCTCGTCAGGCTAACAAGTGTGTGTAATATGTACGAATGAGCTCTAAGCCAAAGATGGCAGCTACAGTGGGGATTACTGCTAGTTCCTGTAAACAATCAATAAACCACTTCCAAGCAAGGTGGTGCTCTTAAAACACACTGCCAGGTGCTGAGATTTTCACTCTGATATTTGAAAGAAAAGAACCGTCACAGTTGTTTCTAAGAAAGAGATAACTTATTAGAGCGTTTTTGGAAAAAGAGTTTGAAGAAAGAATATAAAAACTTAAGTCGCTATGGAATAGTGTAGGTCAGTAACCAGAGAACTTGGTTCTAGTACCAGATTTGTTAATAAAGTGGCCTTTCTATCCCGAGCAAACAAACAAAAAGCTTTGGGGGTTCAGTTAGACTTGGGGCTGGAGAGAAGGCTCCGCAGCAGTTAAGAGCACTGGCTTTTCTCTCAGACAATCCAAATTCAGTTCCCAGAACCCACACAAGGCAGCTCACAACCCCCTGCAAACCCAGTCCCAGGGGATCCAGACCCCTCTCTGGCCAGCATGGACACTGGCATGCACGTGGAGAACAGACAAAATACCCTACTTGCAAAATAAAAATAAATGTTAAGAAAGAAGTTAGATTCCCGTGTGCTCTGGCTTCACAACGTCTCTTAATATTTCAATGCCTACCAGTTAAACACACAAGCTTCAGGGCTCTGATAAAATTCTTAACCTGCCGTTTACTTTCTCTGAACTCGCCAACTCAGTTACTTAACTTTTCCAAGGCCGGGCTCATCACAAATAAAATGGGGACTGAGTGGTATATTTCTTTGTGGGGTCTTTGGAGAGAATCGTGCGTTTCTCTCATTAGCTTCATGTTCAATGACATTCCCCTTGTAATTGGAAACCTAACATGATGGAAAAAATTATGGTATGATGGGAGATGCACAGAAACCACCAACAGAAGTTCCCTGCACAAAAAGTTCCCTGTCTGGAGCTCAATACTACAGCAATGGAGGCAGAAATAGCGTCTATTTCATAAAAGCAGTCTTCTAGCATTAAAAGAAATAATTCGTGCAAATAACAAATCACTTGAGCTAGTTCTGAGTCACACTATACTTTTACATAACAGTGATTTTTTTTCCCATATTGCTCTATGTTACAGGAAACTGTGAGCCACTTGCACCGGTCACACAGACTCAAAACCAAGTCTGAGGTCAACTGAAATGACATGAACTTGCTTTGCACAGTTACTGAGTCTCTTGCTTAGTTCTGTATTGAAAGGGCTCCCGGTAAGTGCTATCCCCACAGAGATTCCCCCACTATGTAACTGAGTGGGAATTTCTTCTCATAGACAGCGGAGTCTGCACAAGCCTAGTAGCAGCCCAAAGTTACGGCTATGTTTTAGTGTAGGAAAGAGAACTACATCAAGACCTTCTAGAGTTCCCGTTTCATGGTTCTGGTCCCTGTCTACATTAGAGCCCTGACAAAGAAACTCAGGAGACCTCTAGTCCCCTGACCTCCTGTCCCTCCCGCCCTTTATATACTTCTCTGTCTTACTCCCGCCATACCTGTTCTAGACAATCTCTTCACTGGCTCCTCCCTTGCCTGTCCAGGCCTCTGACCTCTGCTCTTTCTAACCCATCCTCCAAACCACCGAGGCAGGCCCCTGTGCAGCCCTAGTCTCCCTCTCTCTGCCTCCCACTGAGAGCTGCGGTCTAGCTAGGCTGACACCTCTACCTTGCGGTCCCTCTTTTCACTTCATCCTCCAGTCCTCACTCCCAATTAGCCTGGTTTCCAAGAAATCCCTTTCCAGGACCCAAAGTCTTCTTATTGACACTTATCAAGCACGAGATGTTCTATTCTTAGTGTGTCTGAGTGGCAGAGTGCTCGTTTAGCTTACATGATGTTTTATATCCCTGGAAAAGAGGGATCCAATTCTTCAGAGCACATGTCCTCTTCCAATTTTATCAACTTTCCTTCTGTTACTTATTTAACAATGGATTATATTTTCTATAGGCTACACTTGATTTATTAATTGTTGTTTCTTCAGAGATGAATGAATGAACTGGCAATAGTTGACTGAAGAGAAAATCATTTACTATATTTTACTATACTCTAATAGATACTGACTATAGAATATTATTCAACACTAAAAAGAAATGAGCTAAGACATGGGGAACTTGAAATATATATTATAACCTGAAGGAAGACCATTTGTTAAAGCTAAGCATTATAATTCCACCTGTGAGTTACTCTGGAAATAACCCATAAGAAGGGACGAGACCGGTGGTTGCCAAAGGAGAAAAGGATAAAAGAGTAGAGGCCTACAAATCAACCTTGTGTGGTACATGATGGGGGACATGCATCAAGACCTGTTTATCCAAATCCACAAGCCATGAACCAGACCAGATGATAATGACGCATCAGTGTGGGGACGCTAGTGTGACAAAGGCCACGTTAGTGGGTGGTATTGATGGCAGGGAAGCTGGTGAGGAGGGTTGCATGCAACTTCTTTCTGAAAGAATACTGTTTGCTGCTCACAAGCCAGGCTGCTGAGCACACCTGACCAAGATGGCCTCTGTCTTTTATTCCTGACATAGGTGATAACCATATCACATCTTGTAGATGGACATTTCTGCCCCACTCTGTAGTTGGAGGCTGCTCATTTGTTTCCTGGCCACCCAGACCCAAAATAATCACTCAGAAACTATATTAATTACAACACTGCTTGGTCTATTAGCTTATGCATATTTCCAGCTAATTCTTACATCTTAAATCAACCCATCTCTATTAATCTGTGCATCACCACGAGGTCGTGGCCTACCAATAAGGTTCTGGAATCTGTCTCCTCTGGTGGCTACATGGTATCATCCTGACTCTGCATACTCTCTTTTTTTCCATCGGCTTGTAATTCCTGCCTTGCCCTATTCTGCTCTGCAATAGTCCCAAAACAGCTTCTTTATTACCCAATGGTATTCACAGCATACAGAGGGGAATCCCACATCACCACCCAGTCTCACAACTGTTTAGTTCCAAATAAACACACAGAGAGTTATATTAAGTATGAACTGTTTGGCCTGTTGCTCAGGCTTATTACTAACTAACTCTTACAACTTAAATTAACCCATAATTTTTTATCTCTGCTTAGACATATAGCTCTGTACCTTTTCTAAGTATGGCATTCTCATCTTGCTTCCTCTGTGTCTTGCTGGCAACTTTGTATCTGCCTTTCTTCTTCCCAGAATTCTCCTAGTCTGGTCAAGCTACCTATACTTTCTGCCTGGCTTTTCATCAATCAGTGCTTTATTAGACCAATACGAGTGACAAATCTTTACAGTGTACAGGATCATTATCCCATAGCAACATCTCACTGTTGGAGCTTGGCTAACCAATGCAAAGGGGAATGGGGAAACTCAGGAAATCTGGAGCGTTGTTGGGCTAACTACCTTGCTAGGAAAAAAAAAAAAATGTTCCTTGATGTGAGATGTCCTTCTGTTTATGTGGTACTTTTATTGGTTGATGAATAAAGTTGCTTGGGCTAATGGCTTAGCAAAGTAAAACTAGGCAGGAAATCTGAACAGAGAGAGAGAGAGTAGGTGGAGCTGAAGAGACACCACGTAGCCGCTGAAGGAGAAAGACGCCAGAACATTACCAGTAAGACAACCTTTCGGCAAGACATAGATTAATCGAAATGGGTTAACAGTTAAGAACTAGCAAGGAATACACCTGAGCCATGGGCCAAACAGTGCTATAGTTAACATAGTTTCTGTGTGATTATTCGGGTCCGGCAGCTGGGAAATGAAAACAATGTCTCCGTTCACAATTTCTCGCACTTCTTCCCGCCCTTTTGTATTTATATCCGAACCTGTGTGTAAAAGTCTCCAAAGCTCAATGCACAATTAGACTCAGAATTTTTTCAGGGCCATGCGCACTCCCCTCTTTCACTTTCCCTTCTTGAGATAATCAAATGATCTCTTTACAACTTGCTTCTTTGGGGGCAGGAGAGGGGTCATGGCAGGGTAGAATGCTTGCTGTTCCCAAAGTCTGTGTCTGTTGGCTCGTCATGGCCTGGAACTCCAGCTGCAGGGAACCCAGCTATTCCTGGGCTCTCAGGATGCAGCTACACACAGTTCACACACACGCAGACACACACACACACACACACACACAGACACACACACACACAGACACACACACACACACAGACACAGACACACACACACACACACACAGACACACACACACACAGACACACACACACACACACACATCTTTTTAAGCTTTTTTTTTACACATATGTTTAGAAAGTTGCTCTTCTTTTCAACTCAAGTGTTTTAAACAAGAGCGCCTTAGGAACACGTGGAATAGCAAAAGCTGACAGCGACATAGTCTTCACTTTCCAGGACAAATTTCTTAGGAATTGCTTATTGATCTGAACAATTTTGAATTCAATCACCATTTTTTTTCTTATTTCTATATTGCTGATAAGCTTTTGTAAACTTTGTTCACCTGACCACCCATTCAATTGTTGCCCAATTATCGAGCTTACAACCATCTGAGACAACACAAAATTCTAAAATGCAGCTCTGGGACCCCAGAAGCTAAGTTACAACCGCCATGAGTTACATCAATCTGCCCACGGTGCTGCCCGTCTCCCCCAGCAAGACCTGGAGGCAGATCCAGGTAATCCTTGGGCCCATGTTTTCAGGAAAAAGCACGGAGCTGATGAGACGCGTCCGGTGCTTCCAGATCGCCCAGAATAAATGTCTGGTCATCAAGTATGCCAAAGACACGCACTACAGCAGCAACTTCTGTACGCATGACCGGAACTCCATGGACGCACTGCCGGCCTGCCGGCTCCAGGATGTGGCCCAGGAGGCCCTGGGTGTATCTGTCATTGGCATCAACGAAGGGCAGTTTTTCCCTCACATCCTGGAATTCTGTGAACTGATAGTCAATGCAGGCAAGACAGTGGCAGCACTAGATGGAACCTTCCAGAGAAAGGCTTTCAGCAGCATCTTGAACCTGGTGCCCCTGGCCGGGAGCATGATGAAGCTGACTGCGGTGTATATGAAGTGCTTCCGAGAAGCTGCCTACACCAAGAGGCTGGGCATGGAGAAGGAGGTGAAGGTGATAGGCGGAGCAGACAAGTACCACTCCGTGTGCCGCCCGCGCTACTTTAAGAAGTCCCCCATACCGCTGGCCGGGCCGGACAACAAAGAGAACTTCCCGGTGCTGGGACAGCCTGGAGAGGCCTCAGTTGTCAGGAAGCTCTTTGCCCCACACCAAGTCCTACAGCACAACTTTGCCAATTGAGAGGACCTGGGGCCTGCTGGCTCCTACCCCAGGCTGGACTCTCAGAGAGCAGAGGAGGGGCTGGAATTGCCTCACAATAGACACTGCCCTGGACAGGCTCAGCTGCTGGTCGCAGCCTTTTTAGTTCCCTTCTGGGTTGCTGAGATGCTTCAGCTCAGTGGCGAGCCAGTGCCTGCCTGGTCCTTAGGGCTTGACATTCAGCCAGAGGTGAGGACAGAGCCGCATGGCTGTTGGGACATTGGTGGTGCTGGCTTCTTCCTCCTTGGTGTCTTTCACTGCTGGGTTTCAGTCTCGCGGAGCCCCAACCCTCCCTTTGTGCTAATCTATGTTCCCACAGTGGCCCCCAGAGCCAGTCTACAGTGGCATAGAGCTGGGGCCCTGCTCAGAGCCCCAACCCCCTGACTCAGGGCTCTTAGTTATGCCATAGTTTAAAATAAATAATTAATATTTTTTAAAAAAAATCTAAAATGCGAACTAGTATATTTGGTGGTCATGACGAGGTAAACCAAAACAGAATAAGGTGAGATTTTCATTTCCACAGGCCTTTAGGAAAAACTAAAGACTGCAGCCCTTGAGGGACCTAACACGAGCCATAACGAAATGCAAACAACAACATTAATGCAAATGCAAAGGCTACAAATTCAAACATAAAAAAGTCAAGAAATGCAAAAGTTAAGGTTTGCTAGACACATTAGCTCACTCCAATTGTACATATAGAATATTTCCAATTACAGGGGAGACAGCAGAATGTGGCCCCTTAATGTGCTGTGCACGCCACGTGGGTAAGTTATTGCGGTTGGGAGAACGCTAAATTTTACAGCCCCTGACTTTGTTTGCCAAGTTATGGCCTGGATATTGTATTGTTCCTATCCTCATAATGATATTTTCTTCAAACAGAAAGAACAAGAAGAAAGAAAGAAAACAAATGTCAGTGTGTTTTTGATCGATATAAGATTCTAAATTTATATATATTCTGGTTAAAGACCAAAATGACTATGTTTAGAGATGGTCTGAAATTTCTGCGTGTTTTAAGTGGAACGTACCAGATAATCCAGGTTATGTATTTGTAGAACACATAACACAACTGCAGCATGTGTGAAGCTGCAGCATGTGTGAAGCTGCAGCATGTGTGAAGCTGCAGCTGCTATTATTCTTGTCTCTCACGCAAAGTGTGCAACGAACGAACTCTCCATGTATAAAAGACAAGTTTTTACAAAATACCGATTTGGGAAGGAAAGCAAATACAAATGGTTAAACATTATAATTCTGTGGATTTTCTCCAATTATCTGGAATTAGTCGTTTTTTTTCTTTTATTATTGTTATTGTGGGGGGATGCACATATGTGTATTTGGAGAAGGCATACATGTGTATTTGGTGCACACATGTGTATTTGTTGTACACATGCAGAGACCACAGAAGCTATCTGATGTGTTTCTTTATCACTGTCTGTCTTAGTCTCTTTTCTTTCCTTTTTTTTTTTTCTTTTTGATTTTTCTTTTTCAAGACAGGGTTTCTCTGTATTACAGTCCTGGCTGTCCTGGAACTAACGCTTATAGATTAGGCTGGTCTTGAATTCACAGAGATTTGCCTGTCTCTGCCTCCCATCTTGTTCTTTTAATATCCCATCTTTCACTGAAATGGAAGGTTGCTGTTCTGGCTAAGCAGGCTGGTCAGAGAGATCTAGGGGTTTGCCAGCCTCCACCCTTGCCACCCCACTCCACACACCCCCACCCAATGCTGGGGTTGCAGACTGGTATAGTCATTCCTGGCCTTTTCATGGGGTCTATGCACTCAAACTCGGTCAAGCACTCTCACACCCACAACAAGAGTCCACCCAGTCAGTTAGTATCATTTTTCTTTTTTCCCTTTCACTGTTGGAGGGAAGCATGCTGTTTTATTTAAATATTTCTGAAATATTATATATATGCATATATAATGTATGTATGTATATATATGTCATTATCTAACTCCACATTTAGCTTGTGTTTCTTTTATAAATATTGCTGCAACAGAGTGTTTCATTAATTGTATAAGGTTGAGCTAGATAAATCTGTCTTAATTAAATTATAATGTTGCAAAAACTAGATGAATAAAAGAAGAGGGATAAAAGCAATAACCAGAACAGTGTGGGAATGATGTTTTGGGTGACCGTCTCTGAGGACAGACAGGGATCTCCTGCAGGAATGCTGTTGGGGTGACCGTCTCTGAGGACAGGTACCACTACTCCAGTCCTGTGACAAGGAAGTGTTCTCGTGAATGGTTTCTTCAAACTAGGAGGGAAAGGGAAAGCCCCAAAGGCAAGGCACGCCCACTGCACACAGAGTTCTAGATTGATCAGCCATTTCCAGTTCTTTGCTGAAGGCCCTTGGTCCCTGCCGTTCTCAGAAGCGTTCCTATTCCATTCAGCAGGTCCTCTTTGAAAATGTGTCAAGCTTTTGAACTCCCAATATTAACCTGTTTTTTCTTGTCCTCCGTCGACAATTATTCAATCAGCCTTCTTTTGTAAAGACTGCAAGATAAATACCTCCACAGCCTGAAAACTACAGTGTCATGCTTCAGCAGTCTGATCTCAGACTGTACGCTGCACAAAAATTGCTATGTTCTTAAATAATTACCAAGCGGTTTGTCTGCCGCCTTGCCTGACTGTTGAAATGTCTTGTATGTCTCCAGCAAAGAGGCAGAGGCCAGGCCCCACCCCTACCTGTTCTCTCCAAGGACTGGTCCAGCAATGAAGGTCTGTGCTTAGGACAGAGTGGAGGTGGAGTGTGAACTCTGAAAAATCCAACTGACCTCTTCACTCTTTGTCCATAAAATCAGTGTTAAAATAATAATAATTTAAAAAGCAAAAAGCTAAGTCAGTGTTACCCTATGGATTTCTATATGGGTTAAGTGAGATATATGAGATAATCCAGACTATGCAGTTGTGAAAATGGACAGTAAGTATTGTGAAGCCGTGGGTGGGATTATTGTATGTCCCTTGTAAGCTGTAAACTGACTGTATTCACAAAGTCGGGAATCCAAGTCTGTATCATGTATTACCTGTTCATTTGTTCCCTGGGTTGTTTTGAATGTTTGTGATGGTGTTTTTACAACGCGCTTATTATAGAACCCAAGAACCAATGCCTTGCTGTCTGGAAAGGCTCCAGGGTTGCTACCATCTTAAAGGCGCAAATAAATGTTATCAGTGTTAAAAGGTATTTTACGAAATAGACATAAACAAAAATAAATAAATAAATAAATAAATAAAGGGGTTAGACAGAGAGGTGGGGGGGGGTCCTTCCCCTGCAGTTCTAGGTAGAATTATGTTCCACAGTTAACTGAAATATTCCAACACCTAAAAAACATCAAAACAGCTGGAATTCGTTAAGTCTGAGAAGGAGGGAAAAAGGCACTTTGCTAAGGCGAAGTGAATTCAGCATTTGCAATGTAATTCAAATTGCACTTGTAATTCAGGTCCTGGAATTAACCCACTCAACCAAAGCTTGAAAAGATTTAGATTTGCTCAGACTAGCAACAATACAATACCGCCTGACAATTGCAGAACCACCCTGTCTCTTGGTGATACATCCAATACTCTCAAAATTATAATTCTAAAACTCAGTTTGTCGTTAGAAAAAAAAAATCTGTGCATCATATCAGAGTCTGTCTTGTTGCGATTTAAAAAGAGGAGGGGACTCACCGCCAGTTTTAACCAGGCTGGAGTAACACCCAACCCCTTCCTAGAAATTCTTTTTTAAAACATGACTTTTACAATTTTTAACAGTGGAGAGGTTAACCTGGAATAGAACTCCCGTGTTTTCAGCCCATTGACTACAAAGAAAAGAGTAACTTTCCAGGCATTGTGGGGCTCAGGGTACAGTTTGGGCCATCCAAGCCCCCCATTGTGTTTCTGCAGAGTTCATTTCCTGCTGGGGATTCATCTCATCTAAGGTGGAAGGCAGAACAGGTCCCGGAGATGGATCGTGGTGAAGCATGTTTAGACTACTTACCCATGAAAGTTATTTCAAGGTTTTCCACACAAGCAATTTAGAAAAACCCAGCCATTTTTACTGTTATTTAGTTGGAAAACACCTCACAGCACCAGGTAGACACTTTATAAAAAATAATAAAGAAAGAAGAAAAATAAATAAACCACGATGTCTAAGAAACAGATCTAATCTCACTTTTAATGGTAGGCATTTACTGGCAGTCATAAACAATATCTAGGTGGACATAATCTCTTGTAATTTAAAACAAACTTTGCAAATGCTTAGAGTTGAGCTTTGAAAAGTGTTTGTTTACTTGAGCTCACTAGCATCCAGAAAATGGAGAAAATCTCACAGTATTGGTGGCTACGTGTACCGGCAACCGATCTAGCTACCTATGCAGTCAACATCCTGAAATGTGTGTTACAGTCTTGTTTTGTTTTACACACCGTACAGCAAGGCAGCATTGTCATGATGTTCCAGAAGACTGATCCTGATAGAATCGCATCCCTAAACCTGATTAATCAATCCTTTGGTGGAGAGAAAGACCTCCGGTTTCCCTTTTCTAATCCTATGCAAAGCACTGTGGTTTCATATTTATTTAGCTTAGCACTTTCTATTTAAAACATTTATTAACCAGAAAGACCTCTGTGACATGTAAATTTCATTTGCTATGCCCTGTAGATTAAAATACATCTGTTCCAGCCATCATTCAGGGAAGAAATAATTTTAATAGTTCACTGTATTAAAAGGAAAAAATTATGTCAGCATTCTGCTCTGACAAGAGAAGCCAAGTGGCTCACACATAATCCTGGGAGTTGGACTTTTTTCCTTCCCAAATGCCATCCAGACCGAATAGAATATAGCCCTAAAATGTGTAAAGGAAATAATTCCTGTGCCTCCCGGCACGCGGCAGCTGATAGACACTAAAACACTTTTGTCAGGTTCTCCCGGTGATGACCAGTATTTGGGGTTTAGCCCCCTACTGTACAGAATCGTGTGGCTAAAACAAGATAGCTTTTCTTCTGCGCCTA